TCGTGTTCCTATAAGTCCTCCAACAAAAATTTAACTAACTGGCCAGGAAATATCTAACATAGCTACGTAGTTACATGTAGAAGACAGGGACGGATCTAGGATTTTTCAAACACCAGTCATAAAACGTGGGAGGCATTCTCCCATGAGAAATTTTGAATTTCAGAGCCTTGAAAATGCTATTTTCAGCGTTTTAGAGCAATACAAAATGCATTTTGTGGGCATCGTTTTTGCGTAAAAAGAACACATTTCGCGTTTTTTTCAAAAAAAAAGGAAGTGAACAATACTTGAATGTTTTTCCAAATATTTAGGCTCATTATCATGCCAAATATATGGCTACTTAGCATGTCTAGGAACGTAAAATTTATTTTACAATAATATTATTCCAAAAAAGACATTGTCTTTAAAAATTTCTAACATATTGTCGGGCATAGACCCCCTAGAGACCCCCAATCAAACCTCTATGTAATGAGTTAAGTTAGAAATTTGGTACTACAAGGGACAGTTCATAGATATAGAAAAGCTCAGACTTCAAACCATGCATGTTTATTGTAACCCTTTATCTATCTCTACATAAAGTGCCAGCAAATTCACCTTTTGAGAAAAAACTCAAATTTTTTTTCTGCCAAAGATTAAGCAAAAATTATCAGAGTGAAAATTTGCAATTAAGGACAGCTTAATGCCATTAATGTTTACTAGGCATTTCACTAGACTATTATCTTCTGTAAGTATATGCAAGGCGTGCTATATAGCAATCACTAGTAGCATTGTATTTGCAAATACAAACAGAATGTGACCAACATGTCTTTAATTATACAATTACAAGAATGTTAAAATTGGTTCATGTGTCATGCTTACTGGTTATGATAAATATCTTTTCATATGATCAAAGCTTGTTTAAATGTAAATCTGAAATTATTTAGTTTAGAAATTATAATGATCATCATTTAGAAATTACCTATTGATCTTGAAAAATACTTTGCTGTTTTGCCAAATTTCAAGGTTTATCTGCATACATAGGAAGACATTTTAACTTTATAGAAAATGCTTTTCATACATCAATAGCCCTTTGGAATTTATGGCAAACAATATGGTATGAGCCGTAGATCAACACACCTTGACATCTCTACATGAGGTGCTCAGTTAGAAAAGGGGACAATATGTGACATGGGACAACACTTCATGTATGTGAAATACTCAGATTTAATATCATTCCAGTCAAATTGTTAAAATAAAAAGCTTCATGGATCTGAAAAGACTCAAAATCACAGGTTATAGTAAACAGCTTCTCATGTAATCAATATTAGTTTTCTCAAATCTTAAACAATGTGTAGTATAACTGTCCAATGATTGAATGATCAATGATCATAAAGTGAAAAGCCCCAAACATTTGTTTATGATAAAGTAAATAACAGTATGGCACCTTATGGCTACAGATTTTTTGTCCATTGAAATATATTTGCAGGAATGTAAGACTTTGCTGCCATATAACGGCCACGATTCCCCAAGCAGTAAAGAAATCATAGCTAAAAGTCCTCCGGCAACAACAATTATAGAAGCATTAATCTGCTTACCATACGCCATATTGACATAAATCGCATCACATACTCGCATAAATTGACTTTGATATTTTACATTCATGCATACACTTCAGTTGTCCTTTACTTACGATTTTGGATGTAAATTTCTGCTGATAAAATTCAAACAATGTTGGCTTGTTTTTGAACATCAATGACTGAAATGTCGCTCGCGAGATCGTCTTTGCCAAGCATTTACAATTTATCCATAAATTTTTCCCCCTATTGAAAAAAATTCACAGTTTGGACAGCAGCATTCATGTCAATATATGAATTTGTAAAACATTTCCATAAATTCTATCTGATTGTAGTTTAGTTTCTATCATGCTTTAGAAAATTACTATGAAACGATGAAACATTCAATTCAGACAGTGAGCTTGACTATGTTAGTTCAGTTGGCTATCAGTCGAAATCAGTCAAACCAATCACAGTAAGATTGGTTTGACCAATGGAGTGGCTTAATTTAAACGAACCAATTACACGATAGCAATTGTGGACTCCCTTATAGGTCCGGCCACCCCGCTTATCGGTCGAGATTATTCTAGATCGTCCACTGATCTGGCTATTGACTAATGGAGTGGCTTAATTAAGCGTTCTTGTACTCCGTTTTCGGTCGAACCCATTGAGTTCTATAATAACTGGAGGGGAAACGTCAACAAAATTTGTATAAATTATTAGCGCGCGGCCGCGTGGTCAAAAACATGGCGGATTTTGGTGGTCAAAGTCAGCGGAGAGACGCGGGCTCATGAAATAAAATTTTTGTCGCCCACCCTGATTTGACCACCACAATTGCGAGTATAGAAAATATCAAAACTTTTTATTTTCCTAACATAAACACTTTTTTAAAATTTATTTATTAAATTGCCAACTTCTGTGGTTTGCGGACGCTGAAATAGCGACAGAAAAGGAAACATTTCATGACTCCGGTAAGTAGCACAGTATTAGTTTTACTATTTTGTTTTTAACACGATACTTGAAGAGTGTTTCTACTTCTAAGTTTTAATTTAAAGTTATTTTGGTCCAGTCTTGTTTGTTCTTCACTTAATCGCTCGCCAGACGTGTCGAAGCTGTCAATTTTTATCGAGTTTTGCATCCATCTTGTATCATGATCAAGGCATCAAGCTAAACTCTCCTGATTTGAATTGAGTTTACCTCCCAAAAATGGGGCATAATTTGTTCATGTTTTTTTTGAAAAGATGAAGGGAAAGTTTACAACAGAGTTGTGTTGAAATTGAATGAAGTGCCATGCAAAATTAATGAGATCTATGGTATATGTTGTATAATAAAAATAACTATTAAACTGTTTGCATGCTCAATTTGACTGACTGTATAGTGTAGACAATTATAATGGGATTGGAAAGTTGGATTTATGCAAACAATTTTAAAGTACTACTTAGCGTTTCTGTAAATGAAATATTTATTGTTATAGTAAACAGGTTACTACTTCAAAACCAAGATAAAAGTAGTGTGTTGAACAATGTGCTAAGATTTGTTTCTACCTTGAAATTTTTGTTCAACAGTAGCTTATGATTATATCATTAATATGCATGAAAAATTAAACATATTATTGTCTCATCTCATCAAATCCATACTTGGTATGATTCCAGATGATCCACAAATTCACATCGGATGCATTGGTTACAATGAAGTTGAATGTAGAAGAAGCAAAAATAGATGGCAAAGAAATTCTTTGTGTCTTATGAAGAATTAGTAGAAATCAATAAAAAGAACTCTTTAAACAACTTGTAAACAAATTTAAATTTGCTCATGGTCAAGCAACCTAGAGTCAAAGAAGCAAAGTCTGTCTTCAACATGTGACCTTTCCAATTATTTAGTTTCTTTGTACAAAATACTATTTTTGAGAAACTTGATTTGTAAGTCTTTCATTAATATTTTTTTACCAAGAGATAAAAGGAACTAATTCAAAGGCTTGATGTAAAATACAAAGATTTAACAAGTTGTTTATCATTTAATTCCCAAATGTTAGTTTGTACATATAAATAATTAGTATTGGTAGCTGTAAGTTGTTTAAGCAAAACAGAAGAGTAGTAGTGCTGGAAGGGGTTAGCATTTTTGAAAAATTATATCTTGTTCATGACATATATTACACAATTCGAAAAAACTGTAAGTGATGCACAATAATATCTATAGAACTTGATAAATTTCTTCACCTACACTGTCAAATAACTATTTTGCCTTCATGCAGCAATAGACAGTGTTTTTGTCAGAGAAACCAATGCACTTTAGTTTCCAAGTTTGTAATTTCAATGGAAAATTAATGTAGTTCTGTTCAGTAATAGATCTAAGATTCTGCCAAGCTGTTTACAAAATACAAATTACCAAGCAACAGTGTCATGGTGTTTTGAAGTTTTTTCTTTTTTGTAGCTCTTCTAGTTCAACATACTTTCTTTATGAGTTTTCAGTAGATTTATCAGGTAATGACAATACACTTATGATACTTAACCATGGTAAATTTTTAGTTGACTTATGTCGTAGGACTGAAGCAAACATTTTCTCGCTTCCTTAGGAGCATTTTTACACAGATTTATCCATTTGAAGCAAGAAAAATAGGTGCACCAAACTGTTGACAAACAGTCAAACACACAAAAGCATGAAATAATGTATAAGTTTACGAGATTGACAGGTCTAGTAAAGAATGCCGTTTGATTTTCACTTTTAAAAGGCTAAAATGTCATAAAATAACTTATATGTTACATCCAAAATATGCGTTCCTCTACCGTCGATCTTCTTTCTTTTGATGTGTGTCTGTACTGTGTTTTTCACGCAATGCTGAAGCATTATTTTCACATGATATGCTGTCGGTATCGTAATTTTTTTTTCTCACTTGTTTTCTTTCTTACAAACAGTATTAGAAATCAGGAGGGAGTGAATATTGAAAAAAAATTTTAAAGTGGAAGTTTTGACCACCAAAATCCGCCATTACCGCCATGTTTTTGACCACGAGGCCAGGCCCCTTTGCCCCTCCAGGTCTTATAGAGCTCAATGGTCGAACCAGTCGAGCTATCCCGTTCATCAGTCAGCCAGTTATAGGCCGTATTCTGTATCAAGAAAATGTGCTAAAAAATGATTTCTAAATGCCGAAATTCATGACTACATAAAAATCATAGAAAACTACTTATTTTTAATGACTGAATATGATTTAAGTTGTTTGCATCTCTTGAAATTGCAATCTTTGGAGTTTCAGTACTCCAAAGTTTCATAATATTCGTCTTTACCTGTCGCCATCTTGTTTTATTTGTGAAACTGATGACAATATAGCAAAAATTGCGGGTGCACTGTTACATGATAGCAACTACTATCATGTAATATCATTTATAAACTACTATTATATTATATTATATTACTAAGCATTCCATATTTTTATATTTTAACTTTAAAATCCATTTTGCAATGTCATTACTAATTAGGACATAATCTAGAAGCTTGCTTGCATGCGCTTGAAGCTTGCTTACATGCGTAAACATATTTTGAAACCGCAACCGCATTTATTGTTATTGTGGTTAACTATTTAGTGCTGTAACATACTGTATTGCGTATGGGATGTAGGTCACAAAACCACAATACTTCCCATTAGATATTATATATATATGAGTAGTTTACACCACTGAGTACAACCTACGAGCACAAGCTACGAGGAGATAAACTTAGGAGGCATAGACTACCGAAGTAGTTTGACAAGCTACAATCTACCAGACAACTATCTTGGCATTTATGCCATAACTATCTTTTGGCTTTTGTGCCTTTAATCTATTTGGAAAACTGTTGTGAGTCATTGTTGGACTCACAAATGCTCAAGAATAAAGACTCACGGTTGTACTCAGACAGAGGAGATAAGTTTTATTCATACTTATTGATATTATAATTAAGACACTTATCCACTTTAATATTTACGCGTTGGTTAATAAATTGTTTGAGAAATATAACTGGTTCACACTATCTTTGTTGCGTGTGGAAATAGAACCAAAATTAATAGTTATTCTTTCGGGACCTCGCACGTAACATGCACAATGATCAAAACAACAAAAAGGCGTGCTTGCAGGGATGTGTAATCCATTTTAAAGGTGAAAATGGGCCATTGACTGATTTTACCGAGACATCTTTGAAAAAAGTTTTACATTGTCACAAGCTTTGGTTACTATACAATGGTGAGCAAAAAGACATCGCTGAAAAGAACAAAAATTTGATGAAAAAAATTTAGTCCGTGAAAAGTCCTTTGGCTGAGTACCGTGGAGAGTTAAAGTACCATAGAAATTGCTAGGCAAAGTTCACCAATGTCGGCCTGGTTAGACGGGCTGAAAAAAGAATGAGCAAAAAGTTTGAAGCTTCAGCAGCCACTGTCAATGAAAACTATATACAAGAAAATAAGTCGACAGATGTAAATGAGCCTCACACGAAACTGCTACGATCATCCTCGTTTTGTCATGACAGTTCTAAACCTCCGATAAGAACTATAGCAGTTTTGCCATCAATATGCATAATATGCAAGCAAGAAAAGTCCTTCGTCACTCAATCGGTAAATAATGTAACAAATAAACCAATATGTTACAGGTATTCCAATACCTGTTTTGTAACATCATGTTCTGTACTTAATCTACCTACAATATGATTTTACTTTTGTTGTCTTACTGATGGTGAGGAATGTCCAATTTTTCTACAATTTGGTAAAGATCTTTATTTATTGACAAGAGTTCAGCGATAGTTAATGCTTCAAGGTAAATATAAAATATATTTTTGCTACTATTGTCTTTTTTGCATTTGCTTTGTATTTCTTTCCGTCCTAGGTACACTCTCTTTGCATCTGGCAAGTGTACGGACGAATGCCTTCCCCCGAATGCAGATAGCATGCTTTTGCACATTAAGAGAGCCAACTACCAAGCAGCCATCTGGAAGAATAGTTTGCAATCGCACATTAATGTTCAACCTCCTGTGAGCCATGGATGGCACATGAAAAATGGTCAGTTAGAGATTCTTTGGATGACTGGACCATCTGCTCCAGATACACTTATTGAGTGCGCGACATGCAAGTGTAAAGCTGGTTGCAAGAATCTTCGATGCTCGTGCGTGAAGTCTGGTTTGCAATGTACTGACATTTGCGGTTGTTCTGACTGCAGTAACTACGCCTCTGAAGATGACGGCCCAATGAAAGAGCCGGATGAGTGCGATGATAGCGATTAAGATGATGCCGACGATACACATGAAAACTTCATAAACGATTTCAATGAAATGTTCTATTAAGAATGCACTGCTCAGCAGTGTGTACAGCAGGAGCTAGATGGCGACCAAAGGATTCTGAGTACGCAATCTCATGTGCCAATTTATTATCGTTATATTATTTACACAAAAAGATGAAGGACTCCTTCGCAATTCAATTTCAAGAATTGTTTTTTCATTTTTTAGTCTTTTTGTCCATCAAGCAGATATGGAAGATTAATAGCTAAACATATCATTTCAAATTAACTTAGAAAGATTGCTCCTTAATCATTATTTAGCCCCGTTCTTTTGAATATGAGCCAGCAAATTTAGCGAATTTCACACAAAACAATATGGCGGATATAGAAAATAAATGTCGAATTTTTGATGGCTCTAGCTCTCTTGATTGCAAGTTTTCGGGATGTAAACAGGCAGATTTATGTTAAGTGAGTACATATCAGTACATCTATGTTGTTTTTACTTAGTCATGAATTTCTGCATCTCAACCTGAACAATAATCCACCATAGAATACGGCCTATTAATATAATTCTAGATATGTTTTTATCTACTGATCTTTTTACTAAGGTGGTATTTGTATAAGTTTTTATACATAAAACAGAATTTTGACGATGAAATCCAAACGATTACAGAACGAAAATTTAATTATCAAAAAAAATTGTAATCATTAAATTTGATAAATAATTTTTTAACTATAAACATATGTCGCGTGACTGATTTGACATACCCCAGATCCGCCCCTGATTTTTATCGTACACGTCTATAAGCTGCAAGTACTTTTCTTCGGGCGCGAATAAATTACATTTTTCTTTGGCGCACTTTAGGAAGGCGCGCTCCTCGTTGGAAGTAAAACGTTTCAGACCGCCGTTTTTGCAAAAGCATCTGTGCTTCTCAATAGAAACCATACTTTTCCTTGGTTCTTTTTTCTATCTCTGGCTGCAAAACGTTTGTCGAATTACTGCAAATGATCTGCAGTGCTTGAGTTTTTATGCAATTCCACCTGTATAATTTGTTGATGATTAACGAAGATTTTGTTTCCAACTCAAAAATGTATGATTAGCTAGTTGACAGGTTCTCAGCAGACATTCAGAATTTTGATGTGTTAATCATCATGAATCCAATTATAAATCTTTCCCCGAGGAAAATACCAAAATAGTAACCCTATAGCTTCATAATGCCAGGGTTCGAGCTGCGCGCAGTGATCATGAAGCCGATTATAATTTACCTCAAGGATTAAGTTTTGTCTTCATTTTTTGATTATTTGATTAAGGTTATTTTTTTATCACATTTCCATCAAAATTATTTCTCCACACGAATGATGAAAAATTTCTTCTTGCTTGTTTTCACAGTATAATGACAAGTTAAAAATTGCAGAGATAATAATTGTTAAGACTCATAGCTATAATTTTTAAGGCAGTTATGATGCATATTTTTTCCAAACCAAAACTGGCAATGACCTTAAACGTTATTTCACAATCTTAATTGATGGTGCTTGAAATACATTAGGCCTTCAGACATAAGAGTTAATTTACTATTTTAATGCTTTAATGCCGTCATTCACTCTGAAACGCACGCATACCAAGGAAATAATCGATCCATTGGAAAATTACCGCTAACAAAAGAGCCTTTGTCAATATTATGCATCTAAAAGCACTCACGTCAAAGCCTCAGGCAAGCAAACAACAAAGTCATCAGAGCAAATAAGACGAACACTATAGAGTCATGGCTACATCATCAAATACAATTAGACCCGTTTTGAGTAAGTTGAATTGGAATTCTATTTCAATGTTAGATATGACTTTAGAAAATATAAGTTGTGATTTTATTCATTATTTTAGGCCAGTGTGAAGACTGCAAAATGTGGGCAATTTTTCCCCCTCTCTAAGGTGGAGGAAAGGCTAGTGGAATGCTAGCCTTTCAAACGCCCTATTTGCTTGTAAGTCAAATAATTAGTATGCTTCCTAAATGTTGTAGTCGTTTTTTATGTAATGTCCATTGCTTTATACTCTAGTTGTTTTGACGAAGAAGTCGACCGATTTTTGGAAGATTTTTTTCAGTATGTATTTTTATAATTCTTTATCTTTTGAACATTGATACAGTAGAACAGTCAGTAAGATTGATTTCTTTTTATTTCAGAGTGGCCGTTGCTAGTTTTTTTTAATTAAAAATGCTTTATTTCAATAAAATTTATTTAGGAATATCAACGTCTCATGTTCTAATTTGTTCTTTTTTTCTATCAAAAATATATTTCTCCAATCATTGCAAGTGTACTTGATAAGTTCTAGCCCATTTACTATTGGAGTCATGTCTTGTAAACTATCAAAGAAGGATTTCATGACTTCTTCCTCCATGGCCTACTCAAATTTACACGGCCTGATATCTTGCCATAGCAAGGCCAAAAATACAAGGCCATTAAGGCATTCACGATTTCTAAATGATTTCGACTTCTACCACTTATATGCGAAATCGGATTGGAGTATATACTAGAGATCAAGTGTCTCAGAGACAAACAAGACATTTACATGCTGAAATTGAAACAAAAACTCGAGTTGAAAGTCTTTTAAAAAACGCTGTCTCGGTTAATATAAATAAAATGATATCAATTGCCTTTGGAACGCTTGCTTTGCTTTAGTGCAACAACTCGGTCTTTGACAACAGTCTCTGTTCGCCATTTCCTCTGATTGTTGAGGAAGACGTTACAAATAATTCTTATTGCCCGGTTATTGGCGATATCTTCGTGCTGTTCGCAGACGAACCCTTCGTTACACAAAACGGTTTTCAAAAGATCCTCCGCAACAAATCGCGATGGCAAGCTAGAGTCTTGAATAATATTTGCTGCTGCATTCAGTTCAGCAAATCCACGAGCAACAAAATTACCCAACGCAGCAGATGGTTCCATCAATCCGCCACGAGACAGTAACTGCACATATGGCGAAACACCATTATTGGTTAGTAGTTGCTCACAGCAACAAATGCAAAGCTTAATCAGCTTGTTTGCAATGTACCCAGCAACGTTATCAGAAATTTCCTTAGAAGCATCCGTCAAACATATCCTATTAGACTCAGATGTGATTAGCTGCACGGAGTCTCTAAACTCTGCTACTTTTTCCGGTGATTTTTCATCGGTGACTTTGGCCCGATCATCAATGTCCAGTCCTTCATTCACAAGGCTTTTTATTTTTAGAATCTTTTCTTAGAAGACCACATCTTTTAAGCCGACCAAAAAACGACCACCACTCATTTGGCGGTACTGACCATACCGTTTTTCCAAAGGATCACTCTGGAAGCGCAAAGTCAGGACATATGAATAACCCTCACTTAAAAGTTCTTCAATTAAAGCAGCATGGCAGTGAAGGGTGCATCGAAGCGCATGACTAGTTTGAGCAGTAAGATTGAATTTGTCGCAATTCGGCAATTTAAGGTTATCCCACTCGTCAATCCAATCTGCAAAGGCTCTCAAAAATTCGGGTTTTTGTCATTGAGAACTGCAGCATTCCCAAGGCGATTAGAGGTGTTAAATCGAGATTTTGAATTTGAAATTGTCCACCAAACATCAGCAAGGTGCAGGAAACTTGCAGCGCCGTCGGCTTTGTCAGGAAAATAATGTCTTATGCCGGTAGCAGTTGAACGTGAAAAAATGGCTAAAGCTATGGGTACATTCTGTTTACAATTTCCCGGGTGTAAAACCTTCGCACTAAGTTCAGGCGCTGCCCTTAAATTTAACTCAACTTTCTGATCCTTCTCGTACACCTCATGAAGTAACCGCCACGAAATCTCTCCTCCGCTTACTGAAATAGGGTCATAAAACCCAGTAAAATTGAAAGCAGGAAAAAGAAACCTTTTGCGATTCAGCAAATTATTTCTGATGTTCTTCACCAGGTGAACAGAGTCGAAAAACAGATAGGTCTTCTGACTATTCAGTGTGATATACAGATCATCAACACCGGCGCCACACGCAGAGCGCAATTCCTTGTATGAATTGACGTTCGAAGAATGATCATCCGATACAATTCCTCTGACACGGAATCCGTTTTCTTGAAGTAGTTTCAAACAGGCTAAAAGCTCGTCTTTTAACCATTTTCCAGTTATTTCTTTCTCGGGAAGGGCTTTCACAACATATGGAATGTTACTATTTAACCCAACGATCATGAAACATACCACACCTTTATACAGCTCACCTTGTTCATCTGCGCCATATGATTCACCAGCAATTTACTCCTCGCACTTCTAAAGAAACATTTCATTCACGATCAGAATCACATCATCAGAAATACTGCCGTTGTCTTTAAGAAGGTTTGCAGCTTTCAATGCATCGATCTTCCCAGCTGTTATTCGCCGGAGGAGGGAAACAGATGGCAATTTAAACTCTTCTTGCAGCAGTTTGTAAGTCTGTAGAGATGTATAATGTAACAAGAGGGCATACCGAATCATATTTGCTGAATACACAGGGCTCTTCTGATATTTCAACTTCCTTAACTCTTCCAAATCACCGCTACAGTATAAGCTCTTTTGTTCAACATAGGCAGGGAAATTGTGGAGCATACTTTTACTCGTCAATTTACACTAACCTCTACGAAACCACTCGGGTAAAGGAAACGGGGCACCGCGGTGGTAAAGGCATACGCGCAGATCAACATCCACTCGGATGCAAACTGTAACTTCAGGCACAGATTGTTCATTCTTTTCCATTTTGAAAAAAATGGCATGGTCGTTATGGCGAGAAAACGAAAACTGGTGACCAAGTTCGTGGAGCAGTGAGTTGTTAATGTCACCAAAATCTTTGATTATGTCAAGGTGCTTGAACTTGTCAAACTCATCTTCCTGAAAAACACGTTGAGTCGGAGGTTTTCGAAGCTTTGGGATTGAAGGCTGCAGTGAAGGACAATCTTTCAGGCTCTCTGGATGGATGGTTGGAATTGGCTTCATTGACTTGATGAGGCGAAGTTACTTGGTATTTCGCTGGATATACTTGTCCTCGAAGTGATGTTCGCATATAAACACGGATTTCAGATCATCCTTGTCATGAGCTACTCTGTTCAAGAACAAGCGCCATATCGGTTGCAGCTCCTCGTCTTTTTTAAACTCGAATACAGTCTCACTAGCGTGTCCTTTGTAGTTGGTGTAACACCCAGCAACGCTACATTTGTTTGGCATTCTGCACTGCAACTGACGAACAACTCAATCAAGATCTTATCACAAACACTCAACTAACCAAGAGAAATTTACTTTTTCAAATGAACAACTTCCTCAATAACAATCATTTCAGAAGAAAACAGGAAACGATTCATGAAAAACTTCCTGCCTGTCATGCTCTATTTTTAGATTTGAGAAGAAAACTTGCTGACTCATTGAAAATTCAATGGCCTTGCATTTGTGGCCTTGCTATAGCAAGATATCAGGCCGTGTAAATTTGAGTAGGCCATGCTTCCTCATCAATTTCTGATACTGCATCAACAAAGTATATCGTTACCCTTTCATCATTCGGCATCATCAAACATTTATGTTGTCTTTGAGATGGTGATCAACACGACAGCCGTCACAGTCTTTTGCCGCAAGTTCGTATATTTTAAAACTAATTTCAGTAGCATAGCACTTTAATAATTTATTTTATATATTGCTTTGGCGTTCATCTAAAACATTGCTCTCATTTTCAATTTCGAAGGACGATTCCTTTACTTTCTTTGCTTGCTCAATGTCTACTTTTAAAGCCATTTTCGTTTTAGTTATACAAAAATTACCAAATAACTTTAACTCAATAAAATTGTAACGTGTTCTCTATTTTTATATTTGCAAAGGAAACAAGAAAACGGATCTAATATTGCTTTAAGAATAGAAAACAATTGACAATTTTAATTAAGTTTTATCGTGTTTCAATTAAACATGTCATCCAGTACCAACCTTTGCTCATTTTACGTGGTTTCCGGTTTACACGCGCTCGCCCTGTTTACTTCCTAGGACTGGAAACTAATTGACACGGGTAAGAGCTCCGTTTACTACCGGGACCATACCTGCACCATAACTACTAAAGTGAGAGACCGAAGATCTTTTTTTATTGATTATAATCTACGAAATTGTACAAAAGTATTAAAAAGGCAATTATCTGAAGAGCTATGAGCAAAAAATGTCGGTAGTACGGATTTTTTTAGAAAAATTATCATCACGTTTGTTGTGTTTGATGGTTTCGCGTCAAAATTGTATATGTTAGGTTTAGACTGCCATAGTTGATTCCTCTAACACAATTTGTATTGACATGTTCTCTTTATTACACTACTCTTAATAATAGCACAGCCTCAGAGCATTCTCAAGAGTTTGTCATGTCATAAATAAACTCTGATTTTTAATTTTTTTTATTACTTCATTCTCTCTCACAATTTTTTAATAAAATTCAATAGGTCAGTTCAGTGCATTTTACATTTTTCATCATTTTAATAGGCTTGGGAAAAGATTAGGTATGAAAACCGATGGTCATCATAATTCATTTTTGTAATTAAATGTTAGAACAGCTTCCAAAAATAATGGAAAGCTGAACTATCAATGGACTAGTCACTATTTCTGAGAATTGCTTGGTATCATAAGTAAAAGAGAAGAATTATTTGTAACTGATAATTATTTTTTATGTTAAACACATGAATTTAAAAAAAACCCAAAAAATAATTCTTGACAAAAGAAGACTCATTAATGTACATATATCTAAGGTTATTTTTATTTACGAATGATGTCAAAATAAATATGAGTTAAATGTGATCAATCCAAGTTAACTCTAATTGTTGCATTCTGTAAAATGACCCATGACACTCTCCTATTATAGGTTGAGAAAATGAAGGATTGATTTGTTTCAAAGACAGCATTAAGATTTTACATCTAAGTTTTGAAAGATATTAAGATAATTGTCGACAATATAAGATTGAAGTATTTAATTGTCCAATCCATAATGTAAACCATTTAATAATTTTACTCGAACCAAAGTTGCCATGGTTAAGTGAAGTTGAACTTTCTGTATGTTAGCATATTTTTCAGAATCATACACACCTTTAAACTACAAATGCACATATTTAACCTTTGTCAACAAAACGTAATTTCACAAAAAGCATTTT